CTGCCTGCCTGCCGGTGGGAGGGAGGATGGCGGAAGGCAGAGGGCTCGGGGCCGCCCTGGGCTCAGCATCGCGGGCTGAGGGATGGCCGGTGGGGGCAGGGAGCGGGGGAGGTCTTAGCCCGCGCATCTAACAGGGGTCTTAACTCCCCTCTGTTTTCTGCTTGCTTTTCAGGTCACGAATCAGGTAAGCAGCTTTTATCCGAGGTAACCTTTAGTCTCTCCGCAGCTTTCGGCCCATTTAATTTCGTTTTCGTGTAGTAAAGGCTCCTCTTTCTCCAACGAGAGTAACCCCTTCCTCACCTACGGGTGTCTGCGCTGAGCCTTCTAATATTGGACCTCACTGGCACCTCCTGAAGCCTCTGAGTGCATGGGGTCACGTAAAGATACTACATAAAAGAAAAAAAAAAAAACATAAATGAGAATAGATGGAGTCTGGCTATTAATGTAATGTAATCTCTGATCTGTTTCGAGGTGGGTATTAATTAAATATTTAATGATTAAAACATTATTATATATTTAGAGATAATGTGTGCCAGTTCTGGACCTGTACATGATGGCTTTATCTGCTTGTATGGATCTGCTCACATTGCTGGGCCTCAGTCTTTTTCTTCTTTGGCTGACCATAAGAAATAATGTCATTTTACCATATTTGCACTTTGCTGCTTATCCTTGACAATATCTGCATGACTTGCTGTTGCTGGTTTTGTTAGCGTAGTAGAATCCACACTAGAGAAAGGAAGCTTGTTCTAGTCCACTAAACCATGTAAGTGCTAGATAAACTAGCTGAAAAGAAACCACACATACTCCAACCCCGCATCACGTTCTCAGTGATTACTTTGAGCATCTTTAGCAAGTATTAGAGGTCAGATGTTGATCACAGCAGGCCTATTGGTAATGTTAAAGATGGTGTTTAAGCCAAAAGACTCTGAAGCTTCCAGCAATAAGATGACATTCTTAAAAATATATTGTTAACATATTTTGGAAATTAGGAATTTCTGTGTGCAAAGAATGTATTTTTTTTGTTGTCGCTCTGATATACTAACTGAGTCTACAGGAGAGTGAAGGGTTATTTAATGCTGGGTCATTTTGTGCTTGCTGTATAGTTTCCTAGAACAAATAATGTTACAATTCTTACAGTGTTGCTGCTGTGGAGCAATTTGAGAAGTTTTTAGTCCCACTCCTGCGTTAAAATTAACAACCTTTCCTGGGAGCTTTTCTTGAGTGTATGCTATAATTTCCTCATGTTTTAGGTTCTTTTTAATTTTGAAATTCAGAGACTAAATTCCAGTTTGGAAGAAAATAAATGTGAATAAATGATTAATAGAATTTCAAGTTCTCTAACTTCTTGCTTTCCAGATGTTGAGATGAGCTTATCACAGTACAAGTAAAGTCCTGTCAGCTGTGGAGTAGGAACTGAGGAGGAAAAACTAGTGACTTTTTCCAAATACATGAATTAACTTGTATCAGTACATGTTTATATTATGTGGAGAAAATCCTAGAAGAATGTTAAATGAACAATTCTAAGCGTGTTCAAAGCCTGTCTTTCTTGCCCATTGGCTTTGCATTGATAATGGATGATATCTGTCAGTTGTGGATGATCATGGATTATAGGAACTTTTACTTCGCAAGGATTTTCTTGTTAATATTTCTGTACAGAATAGGCCACTTTAGACCAGTTAGACTTCCTCATTCACTGTATTTTGCCAGTCTTAACTGAGCAGCAGTTGTTGATATCTAGACTGAGAGGTGTATTTTTTTTTTAAAGGAGAGGAAAAAAATAGTCAGCGTTGAATATGAATACACCTCACGTTATTAGTCTTTGTTCTTTTAATCTCATCATTGGTAAACTGTGTAACAACAGGGCTATTAGTCACCAGTTATTCATATCCTGCTTAAAACAACAATAATAGTAATTTGAGATTCAAATGAAGTTGCAAACACATTTTTAAAAAATCCTGTTAATTGCAAGGACAGGCTGTTTTTTGTGGTACTCTGTGCTGTGCTCTGTAAAATACTCTAGAATTCTTCAGGATTAAAAAAAAACCCAACAGTGTGCCCTAGTAGCTGTTACATATGTGTCTAGTAATAGTTTAATACATGTATCTCTTTACCCAGACATCTAGCCATGTGTTTCTCGGTGGGTTTCTTTTTTCTATTTTGTTTTTTTTTTAAAAAAATTTATTTGTTTTACTTGGGTGTTAGACTGTCCTTGGAACATACTACTTCTGGTAGTGTTTGTTATTGCTAGGTGTGGTAGTGAACTCTTAAAACCCCCCAAAATTGCAGTCACCTGTAAGATGCCTGGATTCTTAAGCATTGGATTGTAGTCAGAATTGTCATTACGATTTAACTAATGCTTAGCCTATTTTGATTATTGTACCAATCATTTTATTCCCTTTTTAATAGTACCTAGAAAGGAGATGCACTAAATGCAGATGCACAGTCTGAAGAAGATGGCCCAGTACCCTGTCTAGCTGAGTCTTGAAAGTGTCCAGTGTGGTGGAGTCAACCCCTCCCCTGGGGAGATTATCCCAATGGTTGACTGTTCTCGTTGTGACAAATTTCCCTCTCATGTCCAGTCGGAATCTCCCCAATGTGCATGCAACCACCTCCCAAGTCAGGTAGTGTCCTTCTTTTTCCAAGTCATGCATATTCAAAAATAACAAATCAATAAAAAGAAAAAAATATCCTGGCATGTATTTCTCAGTTGTAGGATATGTGAAATCTTTCCAAAATGTCTTGAAAGGTTTTCTCTATCTGAAAGCATTTATGTTATAAGGCTAGGAATTGTAAGGGCTACAAAGATGATGAGGGGACTGGAGCATCTCTGCTATGAGGAAGGGCTGAGGGAGCTGGGCTTGTTTAGCCTGGAGAAGACTGAGAGGGGAACTCATAAATACTTCTAAATATCTTAAGGGTGGATGCCACGAGGACAGAGCCAGACTCTTCTCAGTGGTGACCAGCGACAGGACAAGAAGCACAAACTGAAGCATAAGAGGTTTCAGTTGAATATGAGGAAGAACTTCTTTACTTTGAGGGTGACAGAGCACTGGAACAGGCTGCCCCGGGGGGGTTGTGGAGTCTCTTTCTCTAGAGATATTTAAAGCCTGCGTGGATGATGTCCTGTGCAAGCTGCTCTAGGTGACCCTGCTTTAGCAGGAGGGTTGGACTAGATGATCTCCTGAGATCCCTTCCAACCCTGCCATTCTGTGATTCTGTGAATTTCTAAACCCTTAGTGTATATAGGATCTGTCTTTGTGGATATGTGGCTGATGAGGATAAACAGGAATATTCTTTCGTAGCTTTAAAGATTTCTAATGGCAGTGACTCACTCAGAATACCACAGTCACATATCTGTAATAATCTTTTTAGAGAGAAGTCAGCATAGTTAAGTGTATAAGTGCCAATTTAATTGTCACAGTACTTTTTTTTTTTTTTTTTCTCCTCCACTTCTACGGACTGATAGAATGAATTGTTAGTTCGCCTCTGATACAGAAAGAGTTGATGATTCAGCATTTATAAAGCTCCACTTTGTGTACAGTGATGACAGGGAATGGTTTCTTCTTTTTGAGCTTCAGCTGGGGGTCCTGATGTGGCCAGTGCTTCCTGAATCTCTTACGAGACTTTCCCTGCTAATTGGAGCAAAAACGCAAGAAAACGGCGTTTATCCGCCCACTGTTTACCAGATGATGTTTGGCCATGTATCTTGTTCTCAATTTCTTCTGCCACCAAAGAAGACCCCAACAGACTGCATCCAAATTTTTGGAGCGAAAAGAGCAGACACAAGCTGAGTGTTTTTCATCATGACGTCTCTTCAGTCTGGCTTGCAACCCATGATTGATTCCCTAGCAAGCACAGATAAACAAAAAAGTAGTATTGGTGGATATCTTTCTTGATCTCCCATGATCTCTCTTAGCTTTCTTCTCACATGTTCTAAGAAAAATCCTTGCTTCCTGGATAAGGTACTGCATCAACTCATGCCTTCGTTATATCCAGATAAGGACAGAGTAATTGACTGCATCTTGTTACAAAGCTCAAGCACTGGCTTCAGGTAGTTCAGAGTTAACGTATTGAGAGTTGGCTTTTGGGTTTCTCTTGCCACATAGGGCTTAATTCTGGTTCTTAGTTACCTTCCAGCATTATTTTCAGGCCTTTGATCCTACTTTTTTTTTTTTTTTTAAAGCCATTAAGCTACTGAGAGTCAGCTACATAAAGAAATTATTTTTTGTCCGTAGGTGCCCTTGACAGTTGTGACTTTTAAGTCACAGGGGCAATAAAGATCATAAAACATAGAACAAATGGCAGAAGCTGGATACAGCTAGTCTTCACCCAGTTACAGAGCATTTCTTAAGGGTGTCAGGCAAATACAGAGATTAAGTAAGTATCTCAAGGAAATAAGCTTTACTCTTCCTAAAAGGTCTTTTCATTTTATGAGCACTGCAACACTACCACACAAGCTTTCCCAAAAGAAAGCCCTACTGATCGAAGTAATTGAAAAGGCAGTGCCCATGATTCCTGAAGTGTGTTGGGTGCTAGTACTCATAGGTGAGCTACTGTGTTGGAGTGAAAGCATGTTGGATGTGAAGAAACAGACGTTATTCTGAAAATGCTTAGTTTAGCTAAGCTCACTTTTTTTTTTTTTTTAGTTGGGAGGTGGGGGAGGAAGTGGAATTTAACTCTTCTGTTGTAAGCAAAGTGGAAATAGCAGAGATAGTGTGCATGCTTGGGAAACAGCCTGTTACTGTGAGCGTAGCCTCAGAAAGTGAAAGACCAGGACTCGGTTTGTGTCTTTCTGTAAAGAGAATACCCCAGAAAGCCTTCCACAGAGCCAACAAAGGGGAGGTGTTGAGACTGTGGCACAGTGTAGCAAAGAGTGAGCACAAGGACAAACATGAAGAGATTGTAGACATCCACTGTGAGATCAGTTGTTGAAGGACTTCTTCTAGTTTAAAATATCTCTAAGCTATATAGCCCTCTGATTGAGTTTAAATGGGTAGATATATTACAAAGGGAGAATTGCAACTTGTTTTGGGGTTTAAAGCATAATTCATATGAATAGCTGAAAGATTGACTTAGATCTGTCTTTGCACATTAGTAATTGAATGCTAAGAAAACCATGTATTTCATTCCTCTATTTGTACTTGCCACTTCTGGCCTTTTATTGTGCTCTTTTTTCTCAGTGTCTTATTTCTGTTTCAATGAAATAAACTAAAAATTGTAACAAGGAAACCCTTACTGCCTCAAACGCTGTTTAAGTGAATGGGGTGCTATAGAGTGGAAAACAAGTGATAGTGGTTCATGCGATAGGTTGTCTTGTTGCACTGAAGATGCTGTTCCTCGCTTCCCCGTTTTCCTTGGCTTAAGGGACCAGCAGAATCAGTAGAACCCAATTGTTGTTTTAGTGCACCATAAAAATTACACGTATAACAGCTTATTTGCAAGAGTGGATTGTTCTGGCTCGTGCCCATTATGAATAGTTGTTTAGATCACAGAGACAGGTCTCTTAAGTGTTTTTCGTAGCATAATGTGGTGTCCTGCTTTGAACCAGTGGCTCAGGAGCTGCACCTCAGGACTCTGTTCGGAGCATTCTGAAGTGCTCACTCACTGGGGCGGTTTCGGAGGAAGCCTGGGTCAGCTGGTTAGCCCGGCTTTCTGTGCGCTTTGCGTTGCTGCTGCTGTGATGTCCTGGTTCAATATATACGGCAGTGCCTGGGCATACTGAGTATTAAGTTTTGCAACTGCTTGATCGAGATGTTAAAAATACATACCTCTCATTGTGAAAATCAGGACCACTAACTGTAAGTCAGTGCTGTTCTTTCAGAAACCCTGAAGAAACTAACACAATTGGAAGGGAACAAATTTTGTGGGTGTAAGATTTCTCACATTTTTGATGAAGTCAAAAGTGTTCTCTTTTTTTTTTTTTTTCTTCCTTCACTGCAAATTTTGAAAAAAATAATTAAAAAAAAAATTGTGATGATAAATGGGCTGTATTCTTTCAACTTTATTATGAGATCCTGAAATACAGCACTTGAGAATATTAAAGAGTTTGTAATAAGTCTTGAATTTCCCAAGTAAATTTATTATAATGGAGTATCTGTTGTTTGAGAGAGAGTGGCCACAATATGATCTACGTGAGGAGTAGTTGGTAAAGAAAAATAATGCGCCTTCATGTAAGTTACAGCCATGTATTTGCTTCTGGTATGCCTTTTGACCTTCTGTATAGAAATGAAGCTTCTACAGCTGCTGCCATCTTGTCACATCAGACATTTTGATTAATGGTCTGAAAGATGCCTTCTCTAAAATTAATTGGAAAAGGATCCCTTCATTTTAATTCCATAAAGGTGATAATGAAACAACTTAGAAATATATCCTTATAATGCTGAAACAATACAATGTTGTTCACATGCTTCCCTTATTTCTAGAAAGGAATTTCCTTTCTGGAAAAAAACCCAGTTATTTTGTAATATGCTGCTCAAAATAATGTATCAAGAATTGAAAGCAAAATATTGTGCATTTATATCTGTAATATAAATTAGTTTAATTAGAATTGGATACTTAAAGGGCTGAATGCAACCATCTATTTGTGGATTTATATAAATTGTAATATAAGTTTTTATATTTTTTTTTTCTTGGTGATAATTGCATCAGACACATTTTATGCAGTATCTTACTACTCTCTAGGGAAAAACATTAGCTTCAATTTAACAAAGTGCCAAAAATGCTTATGCTTTTATGAAAAAGTTGCAAAATATTGATTGTCTTAATTGGTTTATTTAGATATAGTCCTTCCAGTTTCCTAAAGCCATAGGCATGTTTTGGTTTTGCAGAAGAAAGTCTTAACTGGTTTTGTGTGATACAGCGGTGCTTTAATCCACTGAGCAGAAGTACAATCAAATGTAGACTCTGTTGGTGTCTTGGTTTACATTTGCATTTAGAAGAGGATTACGACAGTTGGTTCTTCTCACAAAAGCTCTTTGACTTTTGCATCTAAGTGTCTGGAAACGTTTGTGCATTTCGCCAGTTTTGTGTTTTCATGGTTCCAACTTGTATACAAATACCACAGTAAGATGCGGAAAACTCAACGTCATGGTATAATGCCTTAGTATTTAGAATGTGGTGTTCTTGAAATATTTGCAAATGCTGTCCAACTTTAATTGCACCTAAATTTTGAATTCCATTTTGTTTCAGTGTTTGTTCTCGCTTTTTTTACATGCAAGTGACAGAGTGGAAAAGAGCATTGCTACTTCAGACAATAAGTAAATTGTGCATTAACTACAGTTGTGCATTAACTACTTCAGAAGTTTTTTGTTAAAAAAAAAAAAATTGCACCCTTACTTCTTCTTACCCCACTTACCCTTTCTACATCTCTGTGTAACTCTGTTGGCAGAAGCACTATTTTAAACTGCTGAAGTCCAGTTGCCTGGGTCAAAAGGTTGCTAGGTTGCCTTTGTCCACTGGGTTTCCATTCTACTTTTGAGGGTCTTTAATAATAAATAAATAAGCATGAACTCTTTTTTTTTTTTTTTTTTTTTTTTTTATATTGAATAAATGTCATGAACCTTAGAAGTAGCCAGTGTGCCTCAGAGCAGAATCAGGTATTAAAGATAACTGCTCGGTGCTT